CGTTCATAATGTATGGCAGGGGGGGGGAGGCAGGTGAAATCAAGGGGAGATTGCAAAAATTTTGGTAGGAAAAAGGAGGGGATGGGCAAATTTTTATCAGAAAAATGGAGGGGATGCACAATTTTTGGAAGAAGCAGCTACTAGCCTTGCTTAGGGGGGATCGTATTTTTTTGCATGAYTTTAAGGGGGGGTGTTAAGAATTATTCTGGACATTTCAAATTTTCACCTGCCACCCCCCCCCCCCCCCCCCCCCCTCCCTGCCATACATTATGAATGCAGCCTTAATGATATATAGAATTGTTGGCAGGGAGTCCAGAACAAGGATTCATTTGCCCTTTCTCAGACTGATTTAACCAAAAAATAATTCAGGATGCATGCAGCCTAGCTATTAATTGCCAGATATTTTACCTAGGGATAAGGCATACCATCGCAGTACCACCATGCATTGCAATGGCATTTTGTTCAGGCAGTTGCCTTACATCTAAAAGTCTTTCCCTTCTTCTTCAAAGCTCTCTTGAACTCAACCAATCGCTCTCTTTATTTTCTAACTCACTGCTAGTTCATTACTCTTGTGGTTCTATTTGAGAGGTAATCTGACAGACCTTGGGTGCTCAACAACAACAGTATATTGTAACATTAAAAGAGAAATATGATGACATACTATAGTGAAAAATAAAATTATTTTCAAGTTGTTATCTAATATAATAAATCCTATCTATCATCTTCAACAGGTTATTACAATCGGCCATGGGAATGGACCAAAATGAAGGACAATACTCAATGGATTGTACAATTTGGGTCGACAGATGACCCTTTTATTTCATTTGACGAACAAAAAGAAGTAGCTAATGGAACCAAAGCTGAATTTCACCAGTATTCCAATAAAGGACACTTCAACCAAGATTCATTTCCTGAACTACTGAAACTTTTGAAGCAAAAACTCGATGCCTAGTCTCAGAAAAAAAACACCTTCCCCTTCTCAAGGCATAGATCTTAATCCTCCAATCCTAAGAAGCCATAAAAAAAAGATAGATATTCCTTTGTCAGACAATCAATGCCCCTCAGAAAATTCATTCCTTTTCTGATTAGCAGGCTTTGAAAATTTGTCTGGGTACATGGCCTTGGTTAATGTAGTCACACTGTAAAGCATTTTTAATAATTACAGAAGATTCATGTTATCTTGAACCCTAGATATCTCAATCTTTCCATTAGCTCAAGCTTCAGGCCCTACAGTATCTTATGGACATGTCAGCATCAATGCAACACCATGATGCAGCGGCCATGTTGAACTGCAAAGCATTATTTGTCGTCCAGGGGGCAAAACAAAACAAAGATGCTGAAATGATGACCCCACGCTATTTGACAAATTTCCTCAGTTGAGGAACTGAATTTTTTTAAATTCATCTCTTGTCAAATAGACCTCTTCGGCTTGGGCCTAATGTTTTCCCATTTCAGACCACATATCATTCCCTAGAGTATCCTTTCTTTGTTTAACAGTTGCGCTTGGTTGCACATGAGAAGACACATGAATATGGATACAACTCAAACAAATAATATGATTCTCAAGGGAATGACACGTGGTCTGAAATGGGAAAACATTATGCCCAAGCCAAAGAGGTCAATTGTCTTGTTATGAACTGTAAAAATTAATGTCAAACAATGCAATTATTGTAACAAACATTTTGTCTATTTGTGCCCTGGATGACCCACAATGCCTTCTGATCCAAGATGGTCCACACATTGTCAAAGTAGTCCATTTAACTGTATAATACAAAAATGATAATACTTAAATTTATGTTAAAYGACACAGAGCAAAATGATAGTTTGTTTATATTTTGGATAGTAAAGTAGTTTTTTTTTGTAATCATAAACTTTAATTAGATGGTGAAATTGAGTCCACTTGTATCTGATCTTCAAAGCATGATAATCCAAAGTAGTAGTCCTGTGCTAGGACAGATTCCAGGATTTTGTCTCTCTGGACCAAAGACTTTGAAGCAAATTGGTTGGCTGGTACTTGGAAGAGCTGTTGTGCTGTCTGTTCTGTTAGTCTTACTCTGATACATGTGTTGGAGTCATGAAGATCTAGTAACAGACTATATCGCCACTGCCAGTAGCAGCTGAGAGATATCTAAGAACATACAAAGTTAATGGGCATAAGTTATAAAAATGAATGTGTCAGGCCTCAGTGTATCCTCTTAAGAGGTCCTTAGGGTCATCATACAATGTTTCCTTCCCACCCTAAGAAGGTTTGTAGGAGGGTAGCCTCACAAGTGTTTGTAATTGGTTCCTGTCTGGGTGTTCAACGAATAAAATTAGGTCAAGTGTCTGATTCACTGTTTTTTTTTATGGTAATGTTTTTTTCAAGTCATATCATGACATTTCCTTGATAATTATTTCTCTCTTTGCTAGTATTAGAGTGCAATTACTTTATCTATAATACAGTATAACCAGCACTACTCTTTTTAGCCCCCTACCCCCCCCCCCCTTCCACACACACAAACTTTTTTCCAGGTTACCCCATTATGGGCCAGATGGGGCTCCATCTCCTTGAACCCATCTGATTGAAAACACAGGTGTTGTGTGCTGCTAGTACACTGCCTCTCACCACTGTGAGGATGTGTTCAATCCCTGGACATCATTTGTTGCTTCCTGTGCTTCAAGGGTTTTTCTCTAGGTTCCCTAGTCTTCCTCTCTCCATAAAAAAATACACCAGGGCCTATGTGAACAACTAGGGATGACTATCAGATATATGTCTCTACACACCTTAGCCTTGTTATTGTTGACTGTAAACTCATTCAAGTGAGACACATCACAAGTCTTGCAATGCAGGAACTGTCCAGCACAGTTTTCAAGTTCTTCCAAGCAGGAACAGTGAACCCTCTTAGTGTACTTTGTACTGTCATCTCCATCACCAAGTACTTTAGTAATGACAGCTTTACAGATACAGTTATGATCTTCGTCAGCTAAAGTAACACTCTCCAGACTGACAAGGGTAGTAGCAAGATATTTTGTTGCTAGCCATCCAGACAAACAACTTGCATTATAGATTTTGCCACCAGACCATGTTTTAAGGGTAAGCTTCGCATTAATTGCTGGTCCTCCTGCAATAAATGATACAAGCTGTATTGTCAAAATGTGTAATACAAACAACACTGATGCATGGTTTGCATCCGTTTTTTAAGAGAATGAAGCGACAAAGACATGTCGGCCATATTGGTATAATCAACGAAGAAAGCTAATGAGAAACCTTTTGTAAATGCCAGTAGCATGGCATTGTAGTTATATTAATGTGCAAACCAAGATTTTCAGAATCCAATTTCTGAGGGTTGTGTGGTAGATATATGTGTTATTGCATTTGGTTTAAGAAATCTTTGGATCATACTAGGAGTTCAAAGCTAGAAGTTCATAACGAGACATAAATTTAAAATTTCCATTATAATCTCCCTACAATAATTAACAAATAGACATCAGATTTTTATGTACTGTCTGTCCTCTTATTGACGATAAATTGCATCATCACATTGTCAAAGTAATGTGGAATAATACTTTGACAATGTGATGACGAAATTTATCGTCAATAAGAGGACAGACACTTAAAAAACTGATATCTATTTGATTTTTACAATAACAAAAACAATAAAAAACTTCTCATTTTTAGCGATCAAAACAACCAAGGAAAGAGTGCGCGCTCGTTGACGTCAGCTTTATCTGTCTGTCCTCTTATTGATGACAAAAAATAACCAATCAGCACACAAGAAATTTGTAAGTTGCTGTAAAATTATATAAATACAACCAAACAAAAGAGGTCTGTTGAGTATAAACCGTACCTGCAAAGCAAAGTCGCTCGAATGCTACACACTGCCCTGGGTATAGCGTATCATGATGGGACTGAGTATCATCATAGATGTAGATGTCATATGATCCAGTTTTGTCATTTACTTCCACACAAAAATGATGACCACAATGTTGATCATCTTCAAAATTCTCCTTACGTCCCACTTTAACAATTTGGGCTAAAATTGTAACGTTGGTCATGTCTGATCTGAAGTCTGTTATGTAGATTCTCTCTGGGTAGCTTGAATAATCTAGCATACCATGGCTGTCTTTTGCAACCGAGACAGGGGCACTATTTGAAACTTGACTCAGTACAAACTCATGTACAGTGTCTTGCAGGAGGCAATATACTAAAGTAGCTGGTCCATACTCAAGAGTATAGCCCTCGCTCTGCTCTGGAACAACAAATGGCTGCCATATAGCTAAACTATCTCCCTCTTTAAAGAGGTTTGCCAGAGGCAGTTGTTCATCCCATAGGCAGAATTTGGCATGTATTTCATCACAGTCAACTACATAAACTGTTCTTTTGACACTGGTCTCTCCATTCTGCAGATGCACAACCTCTTCTTCACTTATATCAGTTACTTCCACTCTTACATTCTTTCCATAATGAGGTTGCATTCCTTCGTGGAGTATATCCTTCAAAGACGTGAAGTCCTTTTTAAAAGACTCATCTTCATTACCTTGAAGTAAGATCACGACATTTTCTGAGGGAAGAAGACGAGGGGACTGAACATTCCCACCTTTCCAAAGACGACATCCTGTAAACCTCAAATGTAAGCCATCCTCTAATATCACATTCTCAATATCATATAGTTTTTGGTGCAAATACATCTCAATAGAATTCCTTCCTTGTTTTTTGGAGTGATTAGATCCAGCATTTTTCAAAACAGCAAGCTTCGTATGCGTTCCTGGGACATTCTTGATGGCTTCTACTCTGACTTCAACAATCGAGTCATGTCCAATATGTCTCATCTCAATCACAGAATCTAAACTAATCTTTCTCTTCTTGAATCCCTCGTTGTTGCCTTGTAGCTGGTTTACATTGGCCCAAGAGTTTTGTACTTCAGCAAGGATGATAGTTTTTGTGATTCCAGAAGGATATTTGGACAAAAGGGATAAAAGTTTGACACACAACCAGTTCCAATGTGGCACACATCTCTGTGCAGTTTGGCCTATTATGAAAGACCGCAGCTCAGTGATTTTATCTGCAAACATTTGGACCTTCAGATCTAGAGAAAAATAAGTGAAAAACCAGCTGAAAAGTTTGAGCTGAAATGAGAAAGTTGTATTTCCCGGTACTGAAGGACACAGTCCCCTAACGTGTAGAGAAAACCACAGGGAGCCCGCAATATGACTGAAAAGAAGATATCAGCCCAAAAATGGAAATGGGTTTGCTTATTGTTTTGCAATAAAAAATTAGGCTAAGACTGAGAATCAAATCACTACTGGGATTAAAGAGAAAACTATCGGTCTCTTCACATTTTTGAACATACGATTTCCAAGATGTGCGAGCGCTTATATAAAAAACGCTGGCGCAGACATGAAAACGAGGCATTTTCGAGTAGGGTTTATAGGTTTATAAGAAACCTTTGGGAAGTTTCTACGAAACTTTGTCCTTAGTTTTTCAATGAAAGTTATAACGACCTGTACCCGAACTAAAAGCAACTCCAAAGTAGTCCTTTATTACTGATAATTTCAAAGTTGTGTATGTGTGTTCCATAGCTCACGTAAAATCTTGCCTTGATCGTTTTCGAATCTGAGCATGCATTGACAGCCTGCACATCTTGCAAAAGTTTCATAGAGCATGTGCATGTTATGCGTCATAACCACCATCTTGGTTGACGATAACAAAGTATTCCTCATTAGCTTTTCTTTTTAGATCGACCAAGATGACGCCGGTTTAATTGTTATTAATATCTCAAGGGATTTCGAGTCACATGCCTACACACACTGTATTGTGACTGGGCACTGTTCTATTCTTTGATTGCACGTTACGCCATCGCGTGATCGTCCTGGTGACTGTAGTCTTGAGAAAGACTGTCTTATTAGCATCCATTGCAGGGCCGGATTTAGAGGGGGGGGGGGGGGTGCAGGGGGTGCACACCCCTCCCTGGTTACACTTTGTGCTCCTACTTCAAAGATAACCAATTTTGTTTTTTGCCTTTGATTCTAAGGGGTGCACCCCTCCCTAGGTTAACATTGCGCGCAGCATCCCTCCCTGAACAAAATCCTGAATCCGCCCCTGCATTGTTAACGGTTCCATAACGGCCGCCATACTTTTGTCTTTTAACTCTCTTGGGTATGCAACCCATCAATAGGGCTGCAGAGTGTGACATCAAAACTGGTGTATTATGCGCTAGCAAAAGAAGTTGTACACATTTTTTAAACCAAGGTTACAAAGCCTCTCTGTTTAGTCTAAATTTAATTATTTATTTCCATTTATTTCCATCTTTATCATTCCTGATTGCACTAAAGTACTAATATCATTTACAATAAGCCTGAAGCGAGATAACGTTTTACCCCCAACTCTAAACCATAATAGTCTTTAAAATTCTCTCATATTAAATTTTTTTTGATTCCTTAGAGAATACAGGAACAATAGTCATAATTAAAGAACAAAAGCAGTGTGAAAAGGATTATGGTCTAGAGACGGGGGTAAAACGTCATCTCGCTTCAGGCTTATTCCCACATCAATACATATCCATCAGCTAATATATATCAAAAGCTTGATACAATTAGAAAAATAAATCAAAGAATGAATAGAAATATACTATGATAAATGTATGAATCCAGTCATTGTGATTCGTATTTCGTATTGAATAAATCTCATGACATTCTAGTCGCATTATATTTACTTAGCAACAAAGGATGAAGTCGCATTATATATTTGTACCGATTATTTTGAATGATGGACACCAACCACTCCTCCCCTAATAATAAAAAAATGTTATTCAACTGAAGATTTTCCTTTGGAATCTCCCTTGCTCGGTGTTACATTTTTAATTTAAAAATTCCTAATTTAAATGGTAGATTTTTAGTAGAAATATTCTGTTGTTTATGAATTTATTTCGAAATCAAAGACATTCCACGCAAGCCATGGATGATGTCACGAGTTCAATGTTTTAACGGCTCCTGCTTGGAATGATTGTTTTAGTCAAAGCTAGTGCTGTACATAATTAGGTTTGGAGAGATTTTCCCCCTCATTGAATTCAAACTGTTTGTTACAACAAAGTTAAGAATTGAACAACATATTCAACTATCTTTTTGGTGTTATGCGGTGTATTTCGGTACATCGTGCGTCTTTAAGTAACCCCACCCTACTCTTTCCCCCAGGGGAGGTAGATATTAACAGATGATGTATGTGTTTCTCTCACGGTTCGGTAAATTACGAAGTAAACAGTTTATTGAGTATAGAGGCTTTGCACCATCACACGATGTCAGCCATTGCAGGAGGCACAACAATACTGTCTTTTTCCTGTGTGAAACTGAACTCTTCGATATCATGTAAACCAGAGTAGACCATCCAAATTCAATTGTTCCTGCCTCCTGTCATGGCTGCCATCAAATGAATACTCTCGGCTATACCATTCATAACTCGTGTTCTTTTAGCAATCAAAATTATTTTGGAATCTAATAATGATAGACTGATAATTGGACTAAAATTTGTTCATCAAAATAATTGAAATTTTTCTGTCCACTTACGGATCAACTTTGACAGTCATTAATAGCCTCGCTTGCAAGTTCAGTCGTGCCCTCTGGTTCATTAACACTCGTTTTGAAAGATTCACTCATGAGGTCTTTACTGACATGCTTAATGTTGCTATCAAGGGTCTTTCCCTTCTTCACCATCGGGTCCCGTTCAGTATTATTTTCTGATATTTCCTTTGTATTGGTGGTGTTACCCATATTGTCTTCATCACTTGATCCATTCTCGGTCCATTTGTCTGGCCTCTCCTCTGAAGTCACACCTAACTGTTTAGGCTTTTCTTCTGTTGTAATGGAACTAGTTTGTTTACTATTGGGTGGGTTGAGGTCCTCTACGACTTGGTTTTCAGCAGTTTCACCTATACTAAAATCATTGTAAAAGCTATAATCCATATTACTCGTGTATTTGGTTTCCATTACAGTATCATCAATATCGGTAATGGAGCTTAATCCTTTACTAGAAGACGTCGAGCTTGATTCCTCTTTATGAATACCCACTATTTCAGATTTTTCTTCTATTACGAGATTTGTGCCATCTTCGTTTTTCATATCAGATTCGGTAAGGATGCTTGATTTGTTACTACTAGATGATTGCAGTTTTTCTTTGGGAATTTGTTGATTTTCGGGTTTTTCCTCTCTATCAAGTTCACACTCGTTATTTTCCKTACGATTTACAGCACTGTCTGTACTGCATCTCGATTGGTTGCTGGTAGATGAACTCGATACCTCTTTAGGACGACTTTCTTCATTTTCAGGCTTCTCTCTTTTAGGTTCAGTTTGCTCATTCGCCGTAAGACTCACATCATCATCTGTATTGCAGCTCGAGTGGTTATTGATAGATGAACTTGATTTCTCTTCAGGACTTTCTTCATTTTTCTTTCTTTCAGTTCCACTCTCCCCATTTGCCGTACGATTCACCATATCATCTTTAATGCTGTTAGAGTAGTTATTGGTAGATGAACTTAATTCCTCTTTAGGACTCTCTTCATTTTCAGGTTTCTCATCTTTCACGAGGTCTACTTTGCCTTTGCTTTTCATCATGATATCAACATCAGAATCTGTCAAAGAGCCAGAATTTTTTCTAGTAGAGGAACATAGTCCATGGCAGTGACATTCAATGCTGGGCAGAGGAGCACTATCCCAGATCCCCGGTCCTGATAGCAGTCCACGGAGAGAGCAGGGGATGAAGGGGAGCTGGCGAAACTTTAGGAGTAGTTGACGCGCTTTCCTTAATACTTTACTGCCTTCCATTTTCATTGAGAGATCGGTAAAGTATTGGAGCATGTCATCTGACTGCATGTCTCCTTGAATAACCTGGAAAAGTTACCAAAAAGTACATGTTTTAACGTGTAGTAAATGTTGTAGAATGGACATAGGAATCAGAGGTGAGAGGCGGGCGTTTTACCACCACGCCATCCTGACTCCCCTCCTAACTCATGCCGTGCTTTGATAGTCTCCATGGGGGAGACACTTGAGAGTCATTGCATAATCTCCTTTATTCATTGTTCAGTATCTACAGTATACGTTAAGATTTACTATATATTTTACCTTTTCACCATACTCCTGTATCATAGCAACACACAAGAATATATGGAAGTACTCCGTCTGGTAACGTGACCAACAAGCCTCCCACATCAGAAGCACCTCAGCATTAAAGAACTCTCGTTTGAAGCAAAGTAGGAGCCAACGATGACAAAATAACATATCCAAACCACCTTCCTTTATCAACAGGTGTGCATAGAAGCGGGGCTCCAATAGTTTGACTAGTTCTCGTAGGTATACCTTTGTAAGAATATTAACATTTTAGTATAACATTGAATTACAAATATCTTGGACTATAAATGCCATATATAGTTTATAGTTTTTAAGAACACTACTAAGGGGGTAGGGGTAGGGAAAATGTTCAATTACAATCAAAACAAGTGATTGCCAGTTTCTAATATATCACAACAATCCAACATAATTCAGCCTCATTGGATATTGACCCATAGTCCATTTGGGCTCAAGGACTACCATATTTACTCGAATAAGCGCCTCCCCTGAATAGGCGCCTCCCCCAAATAAGCGCCTCCCCCAAATAAGCGCCCCCTTTGGACAAAAAAAATTAATAAGGCCACCCCCGAAAAAGCTCCTCACACCTTAAGGGGGCGCTTAATCGAGGAATTGTCCAAAATGCTACAATCTGACTAAATCGCGTACATTTTAATGAATAAAAGTTGATATAACACATGTACACCACGTTTAATATATAGAAAATTAACATAAGTGCTTCTTCTCATTATAGTATACTAATACTAGTACTGTTGTAGTAGTATGACATTGATATTAAAAGAAAATCATACTTTGACAGCTGTGTACGCGTTTCCTCCCGTTGAATAAGCGCCTCCCTCGAATAAGCGCCTCCCCCGAATAAGCACCCTGTTCTAGACGTAAAAAATTTAATGAGTGCCAGGGCACTTATTTGATTAAATACGGTAATTGTTTTAGCCAAATCCAAATAGTCGGCCAAATATATAGACTGATGCAAACAAGTTTTAAATTAAAGTTCAATTTGATGTTTTGATTGTTTTTAAAGCCGGCACTTTTCAATACAAGTAGGCTATAGCTTATCCAATCAGAATGCAGCATTGATGATAGTTGACTAACTACAGTTAGAGTGTTTGTAGCCTACTTCACAGACATCTTTCTTCTTTTACTTTCTTTGGTATTTGGGTTCCCTGTGTGATAATGATCTAATCTAGCAAGATATTTATTTCTATAGAAGTCTTACCAGCTGTCTATCCATGACATCATCTTTGGGTGAAGTAACAAAGACACTGACTTCCATCAGACCAGCAAAGCACCAGAAGGCATCTACTTCGTCTTGAACTACAGCCAGTACTGGTGCCAGTAGATCTGACATGCCTTGATTGTATCCCACAGCAGGATTATGGATGGCATAATTTAGAAGAATATTGCTGTAATAGAAATTATTATTATGAATCAAGAAATCAAGTACCAAGAAATTTAACAAAGAGTCCAGGAAATGGAGTACCAGGAAACCATGTTACCAGCAAATAACTAGGTATCAGGATCAATCTGTACAAGTGACCAGAAATTAAAAGTACCATGGAAGAAATTCAACAAAGACCAGGTAATGGGATACCAGGAAACCATGTTACCAGCAAATAACTAGGTATCAGGATCAATCTGTACAAGTGACCAGAAAATYAAAAGTACCATGGAAGAAATTCAACAAAGACCAGGTAATGGGGTACCAGGAAACCATGTTACCAGCAAATAACTAGGTATCAGGATCAATTTGTACAAGCGACCAGAAAATATTACAAGTACCAAGAAATTGAACAAAGACCAGGAAATGGAGTACCAGGAAACCATGTTACCAGCAAATAACTAGGTATCAGGAAATTACATAGAAAGGATTATGTACTATACAATAATTATGTCCAAGGTTTTTTATTTTCGTTGTCGTTGTCAGAAAATATTTCTTTTTGACAAGAGATAAAAGAAAATACTTGAAAATTTTTGGTTCAACAAACAATGTATTGCACACCTAGATTCTAAAACACCTGGATGCATAAGTTCATAATCCTATTTTTCACATAGGTATATAATCTCCTGGTAAGGATGCAATTCCCCCTCCCCCTCCCCTGCATTTATTAACAGTAGAGTAGTACTACATACCTCATGATCTCAGTATTAGGGTTATCCTTGCCAGCAAAATATGGATGTGATCTGTCTGTTCTTGGAACATCTTTGTCTACAGTGCATTGAACAGATTTCCAGAACTGGTCTCGTTCTTCTTCACTCATGCAAAGCCTACACAAAATAATTGACATCATTAAAATATAAACAAATTGTTATTTTAAGTCTATTTTAGAGCAAAGTGAAAGGATATGGCAGATGAATTGGGGACAATTTGGGGATATGCAAAGAAACTTCGGAATCTGAGCGGCTGAAGTGTTGTGAAACCAACGTAATTACTGAAAGATAATGGGAAGGTATTTCACTGTTAATACAAAAACATGTCTTATCGTGTACATGCTATAAACCAGTTCCATATTTTTTCTACTCATATTTTTTTATTACATCCCAAACCTCAGTCTCACAATCCTAAATTGTATCTTTGAACCTTGCAAATCAGAATGAACTGTAATACAATATTATTAGCTATGGACTTGATATATTTCTCTGGGATGGTGCATGGTGGTAGTGGAGGTTGGGGGAGGGGGGCAGTGGGGAAGGACACAGCCTGAGGGGTTGTCAGTCAGGAAAACATCAAATCCTGTCCCCTATCTGCAGGTGGTACATCTTAAAATTTACCGTTTACGGTGAAATTCCAAGTACTCATACTCTTTCTTCGATTTCAAATGCATTCTTTCCTCGTAAGTAGAATTGAATGCATAGTAAAACAGCAAGAACTTCCATGCTTCCTTCCTTACTTCTGGACTAAGACCACCAAAAAACACAGCCTATATGATAGAAAAATCAGTGTTGAATGGTTTGATCCAGAATTGTGAAAAAAAAAAACTGTTGTTGGTTGTGACTACCTAATCAGGGCCCAGTTGTAGGAAGGGTGGATATCGCTATCCAATGGATAAATCCTTATACAGTGTATAAGTCAATGCCCATATCCAACAAATTTATTCACTGGATAAAATTTATCCGTTGGAGAGCTATTCACCCTTCGTACAACCATGCAGGCCCTGATAGCGCTATCCATGCCACCTTTCATACAACCGGGTCCTGATAAATAGAGATCAAGTTATGAGAAACTTTTGAGGTGTAGATTTTGCCATCAAAAGTAACAATATTGTTAGAGACAAAGGCATATTAAGGATATTATGTCAACAACAGTCAGACAAAATATCTCATTTACATACAGACTTTTTGAATACTATTAAACCTTATGTCGTTGCCCCTAACAACATCGTACTTTTGATGGTAAATTTCTATTTTTCTAACACATACCCTGCGAAAATTGGCAACATCCTCTATCTGTCCTGCATCATTGAATAGTGTTTTCCAGACATCATATGGCATAGGATCAAACCTACCCTCTTCTACATAACAATCTTCTTTAACGGGAACCCTCCTCGTTACTAAAAAGCAACGTCTCCTCTTTCGATCTCCAGAAATTTTCTGACCTACACACCAATCCCACTCTTCTAGTATTTTAGTAATTCTATCCATACCACCGCAGTGAAAGTGCAAAACTTTGTAATGGTTTTCGTGGTTTCCTATTATAAAATGACCACAGGTCGTATCATTTTCATCGTAGAATAGCTTTAACGTCTTCATTTCACTTAGATCAACACTAAAAACTTCCAAAGTACGGTGTTCTTTAATATCAATATCAGAAGAGTTGGACTCTGAGTTCTCACGTATTTGCACGAGTTGAGAATTTGGTGTCCATGAAACTACCAAGCGAATATGACCGTTCCTTCGAGTTCTTGATTTAATAGTAAAATACCCAGGTATTTCGTCTTGTTCTAGGGAAGAATGAACACAAACGTTGTTCTTACAGAAGAGTAGTTCTTCCTCTTCCTCGCAGTCGTCGTCATCGTCGACGTAGAATTTACTTTGGTCACTGAACGCGCTTTCAACGGCATATTTTACAAGATGACTCAACATTTCGACTATGAGAAGCAATATCCATGAAGGTTTAAGGTTCGAAGAAAATTATATGCGTTTTAGTGCATCATTTCAGTGATAATTTTCCCTCTTTGGATGTGTTTTTATAAGCTATTCTTTCGACCTTCGAAAATAGCCAAGGGTGCCCTTTCTAGTGAAGCTTACTTCCGCTTACGGATTAGTATCGATTACTTCTTCTACTTTAAAAAGTCAGTCGATATATATTCGTTTTTTACCTTTCATTCTTTTCAATTGGAACAGGGATATAAAAATGACATTTCTTGTTATAAATGGTTCGTTTGTATTAGACCTTTTAACAGAGCTGATGAACTGTTTTTTTTCAGTGCAGTTTTTTTCAATCCCACCTACGGATAAATATCGATTGCTTAGAAAGTCAATCGATATTCGTTCCTTTCTCTTTCATTGTTTATATTCATATAAAGGGATATACAAATAAAATGCTTTTTATTAAAATTGCATTTAAAATTAAACAGACAATATGATGAAGTCCATAAATTTTATATTTTGTGCTATATAAGTTTGTTTATTTTGTCGCGTACATGATGAGAATTTAGGCGTTGATCGCACCTTGCATGACCAATGAGGGCGATAAAACTAGTTTTCAAAACAAGTTTACCATTAAGAAGGAATCTTTTAAAGAAGTCACGAACGCATCAACTAGAGACTACTATAGATTACTGTCTGACCAAGGTTCAAATATTTATTGGAGTGATATTATGGATACTATCGTTACCAATAACGGAACGTCCAAGACATCACAAAAAGTAGCTCAGATGAATTTAGTGACTGGCGAATGTGAGGAACCCATTCAAATAACATTCGAAGATGTTAGCGCTGCTGCTTTTCGTATCAAGAAAGGAATCAAGAAGACGCCATGTGAGGTAAATATAAGATTGCATTATGGAGAAGAAATGTTTATAACAATCGAATATATCGTAGGATTATTCAAGTATTATAGATTGATCGTAGAATAACCAAACATCCCATCAATGCACTACGTTACAGCTTGCGTACGTGAGTAGAGTAATCTATGCACGTGTTACGTAATTTAAGCAATCATTCATAGCCTTCACAAAAGAAAAAAAAATTGAAAGATCAGGAGTTCAAATACTTTTAAAAATATATTTTTTTATCTTGAAATTTTACGTTGCTGCTTTACATAAGTTTCAATATATTAATGGCATAAACACGTAAATGCTCCTGAATATTAATTAAGTTTGAGTTTGTACATTCAAACAGGTGCCGGTAAAAAATATGTACGTGCAAGCTTTTTCTTAAAAAGTCCTAAATCGTGCAACTTTCGCTAACTTTTTTTTTAGAATGCAGACGATTAACTTACCGCGCGTGAAAAAGTAACTTGAAGATACTAAAGACATGGCAGCCATATGCTGGAACAATAATGACAAGTCTTTTGTTTAAATCCACAAGATGACGTTACATGATAACGAAGAATTAAATTGTGCCATGGCCAAATCTTTTGTTTTCTATTGTTTATAGCAAGTACATGTCTGCAATCTGCCAAAATTGTACTTTTCTGTATAGTGGTAAATATGCACTTTCCCAATTTCAAACCAACCCCTACCCCCCATCCCTCCCCACATACAGTCCTGAAAGTTTGAGCGTGAGCTAGGCTACTCATGATATACGTTCATCTTTACACTTTTTTCGTTTACAGAGGTCTAAACTTTCTGAAAATTTAAATATGGAGCTGTATTTTAAGAAGGAATATCTTCACATAACTGGCAGGTCAGTGGGAACACAGGCATTTATTCTTTCATTTCACTTTAATTATGGCTGGGTGGAGTAGAGTACCTAAAGATCATGCTAGTACTTTTTGTATGATTACATGCATATGAAGGTAATGGTTTTTCATTTTAAATTATTTTTTACATATTAAAAAATGGCCAACATGACAGCAAATACTTTTACACTTGCTACAAATGTCAAATGTAACACATGGTAAGGTAGGTCACTCGACATCCATCATGCATCTACTACTGTCGTCATGACAATGTGGTGGTGTATATTATTATAATGAAAGTTTAATTTATTACTTCTAGTTTTAAAGAAAGAGGTGCTCGCAACACACTTCTCATGTTACCTAAGGTATGTATTAAGCTTATACCTTAGAAGAGGTCCTGTTATATTAGGGGATAGGGGGTGTGAATAATTCATAATCCTGCAACAGTTAAATTTTGGATTAAAGTAAGTATTGCTCCTTGCAGATCAAATTTCCTTGAAGGAGATAGGTCGCAGCGGGTAGCAGTTTTAGTGAGCTACCAATATATTTAATATATTCCATTGGGAAAACTACATATACTCATTCTTTAGTGGTCACTCAAGCAAAGCCGGGATTGGTGTATTAGAGTAAAAAGAGGGAACATATATAGGTTCCAGCTTCTTCTTCCGTTGTCCCCGGAATGAAAGATATTGTTGAAATTTGCAATAAATTTGTTTTCAAATCCATTATAATTGTGTTAAAGGATCAAAAAAGAAAAGGAGTAATAGCAGCTTCAGCTGGGAACCATGCCTTGGCATTATCATACCATGGCAATGAACTTGGCATACCCGTTACCGTAGTGATGCCTATAAATGCTCCCATAATGAAAATATCTGCCTGTCGGAAATATAAAGCTGATGTTCATGTTAATGGTGCTGATATTATTGAGGTAATGATTAGCTGTAACTATATTTATTAGGGAAAGGTCATTGGTTAAAGGGGTGTCTTATCATGATTAAGCCCATACTGTTACATGTGGAAAATTTTGACATGCCATATTCTGCTTGCTGATTTTTAATCTACACATGTATGTTTTTTTACATTTTTGGATATATTATGGATACAGCACGATATATTAACTACAATTAATTAAAATTCACAACTAAACTCAATGTAAAGTGCCTTTGTTTATATATCCATAGAGAAAGGAAGCTAATAAATCATAAATCCTCATCATCAACATTTTATGATTATTATTCAGGGTTTGTGCTACATTCTCGTTACAATATTCAAGGACTTTTTAAGCACTTTTCAATTATTGCTATAGAATGTTCAAGAAACGTATTGTATTAAAGATAATGTCCTGTAAAATCATATCATGGCGTATTACTTTTTTAATTTGATTGTGGTGGGCACGTACACACTACCTATTTGAATTGTAAAAGTCGAAAGAATCAAGTTACTAGTTTGAACCTCATAAAAAAATCTTTGACCTCCATTTTCAGGCCAAAGATATTGCTCTAAGGTTGGCAAAAGCCAATGGACTTGCTTACATTAATGGGTATGTATACTAAGAATATTTTAAGCTATGCATCCTAGAGAAGAGGCCAGACATTAATGATTAAAGAAATGGTGCTAGATTGAATTTGAATTTGAATTTGAATTATGTAGTGTGTAGAGCCATCCTTGATTCTCAAGATATTTTAAATGACAATATCAAATTAGAATAAAAATGATCAATGCATCATTCTTTCTTGTGTTATAGCTATGATCATCCACACATCCTTGCTGGTCAAGGTACATGTGGTCTGGAGATCATTGAAGATGTACCAGATGTTGATGCAGTTGTGATTCCAGTCGGTGGCGGCGGTCTGATTGCTGGCATGGCTGTTGCAATCAAATCTCTCAATCCCGACATTCAGATCATTGTGAGTCAGAATCTATTATTTTGTATCCTCTGCCATGATTGATATTCATAATGGGCCAAGTATAATTATTAATTGTGTTGCCATACAATAACAATAAAAAGTTCATGATAATACTCAATGAATGTCTTTCTGTCCAGGGTGTTGAATCAGAACGTTGTGCAAGCTTTCAAGCTGCCTTAGAGGCCGGTCATCCTGTAAAGATTGATGCCATTCAGTCTGCAACACTGGCAGATGGTATGTATATAAGAAGCTGAGATGTTTAAAAACTATATTATTTTGATTTTCACATTATGCTTAAGCCTCACCCATATTGCATTACTTGCAGTCATTGAAGTCAATATTTGATTACACATTGTTTTTAAATGTTGATCTAAACAAAAGGTGCTACAACCATCAATAAGTCCCCTTCACAGTTCCCTGCACCATCTTGAAAGGTAGCCATGCCTTTGCATTGAAGCGAGACAAACAATGGCCTTGAGACATGTGAATAATAATTGTCCAAGGTGTTAAAGAAGGTTTCTAACATTGCAAAATCACCATTCATCTTTCTTCTATGCAAAAGCATTGCTACCTTTCAAGATGGCACAGGGAACTGTGGAAGGGACTATTGGCAATATTATATAGACCATTGTCAATCAAATAAATTGTAAGAATATGGTTTCCATGTACTACCTTCATGCACTCAGACTATCAATCTATTTCAGTCACTGATTGATAATAGTCTCCTATCAATATGATTAACCTGTTGTTACATTTGTCTCAATCTGTGGAAATATGTGGTAAATCATAGGTGTAACCAAAAATAKATATATATATATATTTTAAATAATTTCAGGTCTTTGTGTTTCCAAAGTTGGGGATAATGCTTTTGCTACTGCTAAACCCTATGTAGATAAAGTTATCAGTGTGAGGTAATGAAAATAAACAGATTCTTTATATTTATCTATTATAATATTCCTTGATAATATGGATTTATTTACTCACAGGGTTAGCCTCATTTCAGCATCAATATTATTCACAAATGTCAGATGACAGTAAAGTAAAGACTGCAAAACTTCAACAATACAAACACTTGGAAATTCCATTGACTTGCAACTGTAAAAAGTGTTCTGATTATTCTACACAAAATCGAGGCTAACCCTGCTGACCAACAGAGGACTCAAAACTGAAGCAATTTAATAAATGCTTTCTAAGTTCTAGATAAATTACTGACTTTTGTAAAGAGAGGAAAGCATGCAGAAAGAGCCTCAAAGCATAGTTCTAGAAAGACTAATAGTATTAGAAAACCAAGCACCTCTACTTTAATTTCATATGAAACCAAGTTTAAGTCAAATGCAGGTCATTTTGAAGAGATGCCAGCACTCTAACTTTTATATTAGATTGTTGGTTTAGGGCTAGCAGTTGGCTAGTTAATGTTGATCAATAGATATTTGATGGCAGCTTGAGTCTCAATACAAGGTCATTATTGACGCTTTTTTAGGTGCGAAGGTTGCATGGTGACCACATCTTAGGCCATATTACAAATTCATAGTTGTTGCCCAAGTCAATCCATGTAGTAGTAAGCTGGGATTTTTGGTTATATATATTTTGCATCACATGGTATTATGATCTTATTCGGACAAATTTCTATGTTTCAGTGAAGATTTTATCGCACTTGCCATTCTTCGCCTTCTTGAGGAAGAAAAGGCAGTGGTTGAAGGAGCTGGAGTGACTGCTTTTGCTGCTTTGGTTGCTGGTCTCTTGCCAGAACTTGAAGGCAAAAAGTAAGTAGGAAAGCGTTCAAACATAAAATGTATTAACATCATCAAGCTAAGCTTTGTAGAGTAATTCAAAAACTGTAGAATTCCTAGCATATTCTCACTTTGGAAGAGAGCTTAAGGGGAAAAAAATGCTTTTCTTAGTTCATCTTATTATGAAGCCTTTGATGGCCAATATGATGCCATATTGCAGATATATGCATATCAAATGTACCATGCATGTACATGTATGAATGCTTGAGTACCAAATAATGAAGGGATGAATGAATAAATGTAAGAAAAAAGGAAGGAAGGAAGAAAGAAAGAAAGAAAGAAAAAGGGAAGAAGGACAAAAGAAAGGAAAACAAGAAAGGAGTAAATGATCATGTTAGACTGGCCGCCGTCTTGGTGATCGCATTTGCAATCATCTTTATGATATTCGCAATAACGATCCCACCAAACCAGTTTCCCGCCATTTTAACCTAGCTAACCATTCTCTTTCTGACTTCATTGTTTTCGGTCTTTCTTTGCTTAACGGCAACAATGATTGTCGCAAGACCAAAGAAATGYGGCTTATTCACCTATTGGGCACTCTTAGTCCCAACGGGATTAATGAACGCTTTACTTTCAACTAACCTTTTCTTTTGTCTTTTGATTGTTTGTTTGTTTCCTTGCCTACCTTGCTCTCATTGGTTTCTTTTGTCTTATTCTATCATATATACACTCCTTTCTACCACTTCTTTCTCTTTTACTCCGACGAAGGACTAGCGTCCGAAACGTCAGTAAGTTTTTTCATCTTTTCACGGTGTATAATTTACCTTTTCATCATTACTGTTATATTAGGATCATGTTGAGAGAACGTTAAAGATCATTCAAAATATTAACTTTTTGAAAAATTACATTCTTACAAACTTTGTGATAGTAAACTTATTAGCAGTTGAAAAGGGAAGAAAACAAAAGTACTGTATGTTATAAGCAATGGCACCTTAGAATTAGAATGAAATAGGATTTACCAGTAGCATTTCTCATCACTCTGTTTACTGAATCATGGAAATACTTATTTTGATTTTTTTCTTGTTTTAGAGTGGTTGTTCCTTTATGTGGAGGTAACATTGACTCTACAGTACTAGGAAGATGTATTGACCGTGGTCTTGCAGCTGATGGCCGCTTGTGTAGGTTTATTGTAACAGTCAGTGATCGTCCTGGAGGCATAGCAGAATTAACGAGGCTTCTGAGTTCAATTGGAGCTAGGTGTGTATAAATCACCATTGACAATGATTAATTGCTTTAAACTTTAACTCATGAAAGAATTACTTTTGCTCAATATACCGTAAATGTCTTTCATGTCTTTTCCTGCAGTGTTAAAGATATTTATCATGAAAGAGCATGGCTGACTTCAAGCGTATTCAGCGTTCAGGTAAAAAAACCTAGTTTGCAGTTAAAACCAGCACCCCAGGTGTCCTGTTGACTGTCTGCCATTTGTTGGGCATTTCACAGTACAGTAGATTGTTGGTAGTAACTTGATGGTTGTTTGCTGGCCATTTAGTGGTAGATTGTTGATAGTAATTTGATGGTCATTTGCTATTCTTATGCTCCTCTACATTCCATTCATAGATCAAAGTAGTAGCAGAGGTCAGAGATAGAGAGCACAGCTTGGAGGTCAAGCAAGCACTACAGCTGCATTACCCAGAGAACGTCATGTGGGGAGAAGATTATCACTACACTAGTTCTACTAACAAACAAGAACTCATTTCTTAGCATTATTGATTTTTAGGGTAAAAAGCATTTCTTTGAATTGAAATCCCAATTTAATACAAATTAAAGCCCCCCCCCCCAGGGGTGTTGGGAAGGGGGGACTTTTCTAAAGCTAAATAAATACAATTAACAATAAATATTCATTACCTATTAAACAATTCAATTCAAGCATAACTAGATGTCTAGCCGAGTGATTCCAATTATATATTATCTAATCATTGAAATACATATAAGTAAACAGTAATTTCTGTAACGAACTCCAAAGGTGCATTAATGTAACAGTTGGTCGTTAGTAATGTAACATTAAGGTGTTGGTGATAGGTAGTTGATAGTGTAATGGTCAGGTAAGATGTCAGTAAGTGGTTAGACGATTGCTTACCAACATCTCACCATGTACTAGTGAGGATTGACCATAATATCCAACCCTTACTAATAACTTATTATATTATTGAGTGTTTTTAGTTGGTTATTAAATTATTAATATTTATTTAGATAGCTTTAAAGTTTAATGGAATCACTCTTGTGTTTAAAAAAATTCATAGATACATTTTTTTAATGAAACTGATCTTCTCCAAGTAACTTCAAGTAAAGGTTTCAATGAACTTGGTAAAGCATATAAAGATGCAATTTAATTTGAGCAACTACATTGGAAATCCACCTTGAATGAAAATTATTACTTTTTGGCATCAGTGGTTTACTGTGTTGTCCATTGTCAGGGATGGCAGAGCTGGGTTTTTTTTTACAAGAATGAAAGTTTATTTTGCCTTAGTTTTAGTTCCATATGGAAAAAAAAAAGATTTTAATCCCCCCCCCCTCCCCCCTCACCCACTTTAAAATGTATCCTGCCGTCCCTGGTGGTACTGTGGCCTTAAGTGCCTTTCAAGTGTGTGGTTGCTACTATTGAGTGGGTTGTATAGAAGTATGGTCAATGTATGGATCAGCGCGTGTTGTGGTGGTGTGACTTAGCTGTGTGTACGAATATTGGATTACCAAAATAAAATGGACAATGATGACAAATGCATGTCTTGTCTTTTAAAGCAAGATGTATAATAATGCAAGAGGAATAAATTATATTTAGCACTGTGATGTTTATTTGTTAACCACATTACAGTGAAACTACTTTAACCAAGGCTATCCAAACAAATCTCAAATCAAATTCACAAATACATTTTCTGACACAGGATGGTCATGAATTCTGGAGTTTAAACTGTTTCTTGTTCACTCCTGATCATACACACACACTGTTATAAAATTAAGTAAAATGTATGCTCTAAAGAGGAAAATTTGTACGGATTTTATTGTTTAAATATAGTGCAAACCATGTAATATCCATGAAATAGCACAAAAACTAGTAAATAGTACTAAACAYGTTATTCTTAAAAGTTTTCAATAGTTGCTATTATTGGTGCTACAATGTATTTTGTTCTAATAAGTTAGTACTATTTTTCATGGGTATATGGTTTGCACTTAATCATAATTGCCCTATTTCACTATGACGTCACTGCTTGTTTATATGGGGGATAGAATCGCCAAATCCAATAGAAAATTCAATAAAATTTGCTCTTAACGAAACAGTTTAATCCAAAATGGCCTGGTTAAATTCAGATATAATATGTGTTAATATGTACTAAAAAATATTTTGAGAGTTTGCTGGCTATTCTATCTATTCTAATAATCTTTTCTTTGTGGATTGATACGGGTTTTACAACAATTTTCGGTGAATTTGCGTTGATTTGACCCCCTCCGATGACCATGATCCTTTGCGTTGAAACAATAGATTGTTGAAGATTGTTTTGATGTGACGTCATAGTAAAATGGGGCAATTGGGTGATGTGTAAGAAAATTTCTTTGGGAGGCCTTGGTTGGTATAGTCATACTGTAAACAGCTAGAGGGTGTGTGACATTAGTCTGTTTGATGTTATCCAGTAGATTTCTAACTAATCACAATTAATTGTGAACTAAATTATATCCTGGCTTATCTTTTTATTTAAATTTATGGTTTTATTTATAACGTTTTTACTTTAATGAACCTATTTATGTACAAAAAGGGACAAATAAAACTCATGTCACTCTACTGTCTTTTAATACGTCATGTAAACTTTAGGGCTGGGCTGTACAACATAGAACTTAAAAAGCTATTCACTAAGCTCTAAATTTGATTATTTTTTGTTCAAAACAGATTCAGCACTTCTCAAGCATCACTTTTTTATATTTATTTATAACAATACCTGCACATATACCACTTATTTATGTTAAACATTGAGCTTGAGCCAAACAGCACATCATTTTAATTTCTTTAGCACAGACCCCTTGCATTGGATTGTTCTGGGGGACAAAACAATAGGCCATCTTTTCTTATGCAAAAACATTTCAGAACAATTCCTCTTGGGACTCAGTGCAAGGGGTCTATAGAAGGTGAAATTAAACAAACTTGGTAAGATTACATTTCTAAGCTACTTACACAACTTTTATCATTCTTCTGTGAATGAGGCGTTGTTGCACACACAGTCTGTCATAATAGGTAGTTTGAGGTAATTTGTAAAATAATTCTTTTCTGTTRGGTCATTAACTGTCCATAATACCAGTGTTATTCCCCGTTCTTTAAACTCTTTCATGTAGACTCTACATTAAATGGAAACATTGCTTTAATGTCTTATATTCCACCCATCAATTGATCTACCCATCCATCCATCCATTTATCTACCCATCCATCCATTTATTTACCCATCCATATCGTCATCCATTCATCCATCCATCTTGTCATCCATCTACCTTTCTTCCATCCATCCATCCACCCATTCATTCATCTACAAATCCATCCATCCATTACTCCATCCATCTCTTCATTAATCTATCCTTCTTTCCATCCAACCAGTCATTCATCCATCCGCCCATTCTATTTGTCCCTCTTTTCTTTCTTTCTTTCCTTCCTTCCTTTATTCAGTCATTCATATCCATTCATTCACAAGCATTTGGACCATATACTTACTTAGACACTGAATCTTTATTTACAAGAAACACACTAACACCATGAAAGTCAAAGACCCATGAATGAAGATGTAATTCCCACATACTATTCATATTTTATTCTATCCGTCCCTTCCTTCCTTCCTTCATTTATTTATTCAATCACTCAATGCATCCATCCATTTACAAGCATTTGGACCATATACTTACTTAGACACTGAATCTTTATTCACRAGAAACACACTAACACCAAGAAAGTCAAAGACCCATGAATGAAGATGTAATTCCCATATTCTATCCAGCACTGGTGTTATCATCTGTTTCCATAACTCTCTGTAGCGTGAAACTCCATTCTGGTTCTTGGAGATTATACATTTACGCCATGTTAATGCTGTTAAGATGTTTCTATCTGCCCTACGCACCTACAACGACAAAACTAATATTAGATGTTTTATCATGAAAACTAAAAACTGGACCATAGTATCATTTCCTTTTCTCTCAATAACATGATGATAACTTATTATATAATAATAAAAATATTTTTCAGCGAGAGAAGAAAAACTTCATATCTTCAAGCAAACCTCTAATTTTCTTATTACAGTATTATATAGACACATTCACAAAATCTTTTTCAAAACATTGGGAAAGATGTCATTGATATCTTCTCTTAGTGAGGATATGGAAAATATGTCACTGGGGTCCTGGAAGTAGTTCGTATAACTAATACGATGGGTGTATTTCCCAGAAAATCACTAATTAAATTAGATTACTTACCTCAAATATAACATTTGGATAGAACGAGCATACAATTGCTTTATCATAAAGCTGGTATCTAGTGAAAAGCTCCTTCAGTGTAGCAGCAACCTATAGGAAGCAATCAGAATTATTTCTAATCATCTTAAAACACAATTCAAATTCTAGTGTCACAGAGCAAGGAACATCCAGCTGATCTGAAAAAGTGACTTTGAAATGAAGTCACTGCAAAACTGAGGTATCATGAAGCCTGCAAAAATTGACCACTGAAAAATAAAAACATGCCTGCCGTTGGAATAAAAATATCATTAAATATTGTGTCAATGTTATGAAGCACTTATTAGCAACGTTTTTTTATTTTATTTGGTGGCCTGGAAATTCAAAATTTCAAGAGGAAAAGTTCAACAACTCAGTTTTGCACATTTTTCTTGATTTTGATTGGCTAACATCTTTACTCAGGCGCAGCCTTTTAAACAAAGAAATAATACTTTTGCACCAAGAGGAATTAGGTCTTTTGCTACTAAAGCTTACTAAAAACGTACTGTACTGAACTGTATTTTTGCTTGTTTTCGTTCTGGAGGACACTATCTTGGCCTCAAATACAAAAAAATCAATAAAGGGTATTTTTTCTGTTTAAAAAAAAAAATTTAACTTCCACTTTTATCTAAATTGGGTTTCCTGTGCTAGGACATATTACACAAGTACTTGCATGTCCCAAGACTCACTATTCTCACTGCATACATAATTGGCATGTCACGTAGGAGTTTAGCAGTCCCCCATTTATGGACATTTGAGTTTGCGCAGGGCGGGTGTAATGCTTTGCGACCCCTCCATATATAAGCGCCACACCCAGATCCTTGAATCATTCCGTCAGAAGCTGCCTACGGAGAGAGTAGAGGATTCACCCCACCCACCTCCCCTGGTGGCGGTTGACGATGCATCACATGCCTTTCGCATGCTCATTGCCAGCAGTCATGGTCAACTTCCATATCTTAATTCCCGTGACTCAGTATATAATGAGCATGCAGTGACGATAAAATACTAGTCTAAATCAGCATGATGTGAATAAGAACTGTCAACTGTGTACTATAAATACCTGGCTGACACCAGTAAACTKCTTGACATCAATAAACATTTGAAGGCCAAGTTCAAGGCATATACTGATGGCCTCTTCAAGTGTAGGTATTCTCTCGTTTGGGAATTCATCTCTGCAAAAACATGTACAGTAAGAAGTTATTATAGAAATTTGATTTGCAAATTCAAATACGTAATGGAGAGAATACATAATGAGGAGAACACCTAAGTGATCTTCAAACTGTTTTGAAGATCTGGTAAGTTCAATCACACTTCCCTCTTCTATTTTCGTCTTAACACATTTATAAAACTGTGTAAGAAATATCGGGAAATGTCTATTTCACCACCATACGATACGCTTGCTAGAGTTAAATAGTTGGCAAATGTTCACGTATCTGTTTCGAGTTTAATCGTGGATCAAGTACAAACTAGTACAAGCTAGTACAAGGTTCGCTAAAATGTAACAATAATTCCTAAGTTAGTCTACATTTGTGGGGAAATTATTTACGCTTAGACAGTATTTATATTTAGAATTAATTGTACTTACATCTGGTGGCGAATCACGCATCTAAATCAGTCTTTTATATCAAAATTGTCTTTGGCTCGTAAGCACATGCATATCGGTTCATCAAGAATTAAGCGAGTGTACTTTATTGCATAAGGCTAGATCAAGTTTCATTGCTATGTTTAATCATTAATTTCTGGTAAATAATGGGGTCAAGGAAATCGTAAGAAACAAACAAAACGAATAAAATGTATCGAAGTTAACTATCCTCAACAAACTGTTACTATGATAAACTATTCGAAGACGATCGACACTGAACTGAATGAACTGAACTACCTTTATAAATCCTTCTAGCAAAACTAGCGTTCTTTAGGCCTAATAAAATTTACTTATTCTTAAAAAGTTGGCACTCACTTTCAGCATACTTTAGCAATTATCCTAAGCAAGAAATGATTTTGAGAATAAAATGCAAACCAACCTTAAAGGATGCCTGACAGAAGCATTCAACCTCTGAACCTCATGGTACCGCAGTTCACAGATATTACCCAATCCATCAGTCGTTCTGTCTACACTGCAATCATGAATTATTACTGGCACACCATCTTGTGTAAAATCCAAGTCAAATTCAACTGCCGTTGCTCCATTTTCCTTGGCTTTTCGAAACGCTGCTAAAGTATTTTCAGGCGCTTCAAGGCCGCCCCCACGATGAGCGATAATTACGGGCGAATTTCTACTCGCTGTGTTCTTTCTAATGAAAGATTTCACTACATATGGACCCGGCTTGGGAAAACGAAGAAGTCGGTAAGATAAGTAGACAACCGAGGCTAAAAATGATAGGAAAATCACGAAGTAAATATGGAAGCCATTACTGACGGCCGTCAACAGCATCTCTACTATGACTACAAGCATGTCACAGAGGGACTGGGTCAAGCCAATATATCACTTCAAAAATATTGCAAATCCGAGAAAAATATTGCCACAGGACGAGTTGCTATCGAATTGTGGCATTAATAATTACGAGCTTGTTTTATATCTGTATTAACATCACATTTGGCATATTTTGCTTGTATAAATATAGCAGGTTAGCAGGTGGTTTGGAGATTTGCGGGTAGTTAATTTTAGTAGATAGTTTACTTCCGGTGAACATACCGGGCACTGACGGAATCTGCAAAAGTTTATGTTGAAAGAGGTTGAGATACGTATGAATGTACAATAAAATCTTCCTAATTCTACATGTAATTTCTAAATTCATTTTATATTTTATTTGTTATATTCAGACCTGATGGAATAGTTTTGAACGGACTTTGGTCATTTTCCCGCGCCATTTTYCCCCTCCAACGATCAGGGTCAAATCAGAGTGACACTCCTTAGGAAGCAACAAAGCCTTGAAATATACAGTAATGATGAAAAGGTAAATTATACACCGTGAAAAGATGAAAAAACTTACTGACGTTTCGGACTCTAGTCCTTCGTCGGAGTAAAAGAGGAAATATACACATATGAATAAAACGTTACATTAGGTATCAGTTATCAGGTCATTTATTACAGTATAAATGTTGAACTAAACTTTAAATTCTTCTTTTTTTAAATTTCACATTCATTCTTTTAGTAAAATTCCATTCCTTCATTCCCTCCTTTTTTCCTGCGTTCTCGACCTAGTCTTCTCACGGTAGCCTCGATTTCCAAGATGGCGGACGAATTCAAGTGTAAGAGATAAAAGTTCCTTTCAAGCTCAAAACGAAAATCATGGTTTTAAAAAACATAACTTCTAGATTCAGTTGGCTTTATTTAAGGAGGTTGTACAGCTCGATGCGCGAACAAGACAATATAATGGATGTTTTTGACAGAAAAGTAAAACGAATCCAACGAAACAGAGCTGCTATGAGGGAAGATGTGGCTCTTTATGATTACGTTAAAGACGAGGTATGGAGTCTTGTTGAATTCATATACGTTTTACGATGTGTTAACTTATTAGTAGTATTAAAAGCCCTAAAATGGCTTGCCATATCACCTTTTTTACCTTTTGCATTAGCTTATAAAACTTAATTCATATAAGGCTTATAGACTTAATATTTCCAATTTTTTTTCAATTGTAGATTGGTAGTAGAGTTGCTGACAGGATAAATGATATATCAAGGTACAGATTATCTATTCCATGCTGCATGGTATCTATCTTGAATTCATATTAGTGGAAGTTTACAAACCCCACAAGAATTCCTTTGATCATACACCCCGGAGTAGTCAATCGATAAAAATCGATATCGATAAAAATCGATAGAAATCAGCTGATTTGTATCGATTTTTATAGGAAATCGTTTAAAATCGGTAAAAAAAAATTGGTGTGAGCGCGATTTTTATCGATTTAATCGATTTTTATCGATCAAGATTCGACCGCTTTAATTCGATCCAATAATGAGTACAATCATATAATCAGCTTTATTTCACGGAAAGTATTCGAAAATATCGATGATAGTGCAATAGATTTTATAACTATTAATTCACAAGTAATAATATGTAGATCAGGCAGCTAATTATCCAAGTACTTTTGCTGTCTGTTCAATGATCACTATAACAAACTCCTAGCTTGTGTCAAGCTATGGTTACGAAAGAGTAATTTCCGGTGGTGTAAATCCGTAGCCACACGACCCTCGTACGATCATCTATAGAAATTGTTCAAGGACATAAATCGAAAAAAATCGATACATGTATGTATATAATCAATCAATCGATAAAAATCGATACAAAAATTTAGTGTGAGTTCGATTTTTAACGATTGATCGATACAATCGATATCAATCAAATCAGCGGGATCGATTGTTATCGATTTATCGATTGGCAAAATCGATATCGATTTTTAACGATTGACTACTCCGGATCATACACACACTCGATTGCAAAATTATTGTCTGGTATAACTAGGCCTGTTTAGCTGAAACTTGGCTGGAATACTAACATGTAGCTTCTATAATATGGTCTAGAAACTTTCCCATGGTACTTGATCTTGGTTGCGGGAGAGGACACATTGGAAAGCATCTTTCAAAGGTAATTAATTCTTCAAACCAAATATTTTGGTTTACCTCGGTGTAGCAGCGGTAATTGTCCTGTTCTATTGTTGTGCTTTGTTTGATTTTAATATGAACTTTGTTTTGGGCTATTGTGATGTTTATATTCACAGGTTCTTATACCAGGGTTTAGCCAAATATTTATCAAATATATATTCTAAATCCTAAGAATAGTGATCAGAAATAGTCCAATTCAAAGTATTAGTAAGATACACTGGATATCCAATCCATGTACTGCATCATTAGCATGCATCATCATCATGCATTTTCATCATGCATCATCATCATGCATTTTCATCATGCATTTTCATCATGCATCATCATGTGTCATTAGCATGCATCATCAGCATGCATTTCCATCATGCATTTTCATCATGCATCATCATCGTGCATTTCCATCGTGCATTTTCATCATGCATCATCATTAGGTCTCTCTGATTATCAAAGCACTTTTGCCAACCAATAAGATTTGAAACAATAAAGTTTATTATTATTATCATCATCATCATTATCATTGATTGTTGTAGTTATAATGACAAAGGCATTAATTGCATTTTGTTTTAAATAGGAAATACACTACACTTACTAATTTTAACCAAATTTCTTTTTTTTTTTTCAGGAACAAGTTGGAAATTTAGTATTATATGATTCAGCAGAAAAATTATTAGAACAATGTGAAATAAAAGATATTCCTACAGTAAAAATAAATGGTGATGAAGAGTTTTTGTCCTTTAAAGAATCAACATTTGATCTTATTGTTAGCAGTTTAAGGTAAGACAACCAATATAAAACTAGTGAATTATGATTATGTTAAAAACTTTCAAAAAAATAGTATGCAGAAATTTGATAATTGATATTAAATTCTAATCTGGTAATCTGTATTGCAGTCTCCACTGGGTTAATAATCTTCCTGGAACATTTCAACAAGTAAGAATCTCAGCCAACAGACAACTTATATTGGTCATTATATGCCAAGGTTTTGCACCATGACAGCAGCCATGTCAGGTGTCAGGAAATTATTTTGCATGAGAAAGAATTCAATTCCCAACAGCAAAGGGATTCTATTGTTCTGCCATCTAACCACAAGCAGCCCAGGGTGATCGAAGTATGAGCATCGGCACGTTATGGTGCAAAACCTCTATTTGGGTAAAATTTGCCATATTAAAACTCTAATTCCATTTCCCTTTCCATTTTTACGTAACTGTTTCATTATCTTTTTTTTAAATATTATAATTGCAATAATTAAGCTAGATTGTGATCCTATAGCTGGCTATGGTTAAGTACTTTTATTTAATAATATATATAATTGCTTTGTTGAATACTTATAGGTTTTATACAGTCTTAAACCAGATGGTGCATTCATAGGAGCTATTTTTGCTGGAGATACACTGTACCAACTAAGATCTGCTCTGCAGGTAGCAGAGATGGAAAGAGATGGGGCAAGAATGCAATTTTTCATATGATTTATTGGTGAACTAAGATTATTGTCAATTACATCCCATCCATATATCCATCTATCCATCCATCCATCTGTTTGTCCATCCGTCCATCTGTCCACCCACCCACCCACTTACCAAACTCTGCTTCCATCCATCCATCCAACCTCCCACCCATCCTTTTGTCCATGCATCCTTGATATTTCTCTCATCTATCCTTCTGTCCCTGCATCCTTGACATTTCTCCCATCCATCCTTCCGTCCATGCATCCTTCATGGTTCTCCCATCTATCCTTGATATTTCTCCCATCCATCCTTCTGTCCATGCATCCTTGATAGTTCTCCCATCCATCCTTGATATTTCTCCCATCCATCCTTCTGTCCATGCATCCTTGACATTTGTCATTGTCTATGATTTCACATCCTCATGTATGATGTCATTGCAATAAGTTTTGTAAATGATAGTGATAATAAATCATCACATGGAATTGCAGATTGTAATCAGCAACTCTGAAAAAACTATTTTTTTCCATCAGGGCTTTGCGGCTCATATTTCTCCTTTCACTCAAATGAGAGATATTGGAAACTTGTTGACAAGAGCAGGCTTCAACCTTACTACAGTTGTGAGTATTGAAGACTAAGTTCCCCAGAAATCATTAACTGTGATGGCCTGGCAGTCTCTTATATATGAAACTGTACTGCACATTAGAGAATTCATGAATTTTTCTTTTGACCAAGGATGCTGATGAAATAACTGTTGGGTACCCAAGCATGTTTGATTTATTAAATGACCTTAAAGGTAAGGACAGTACTTGTTTCTGCCTCCTGTCATGGCTGCCAGATTATCTTTTCACCAATACCTCACTTTATCAACAATTGGCCAATCATTGAATTGGCTTTCCATTGGCCCACAGCAAGACTCAAAAAAGCCTTGAAAAAGCATTTACATTGTCGGCAGTTAATTGGCCAACAGTCAGCAAATGATTGACCATTAGCTGACAGTCGGCCAACTCTCATCTCTTTTAGATTCTCTAATCTAAAATGGTAGTATGTCCATCAATCGACTAGAACATGTACTAGAACTAGCTGTTATTTAATAAATATTTCTCTTGCCTGGTTTCCAATTATTATTATTATAATTACTAGAACTAGCTGTTATTTAATAAATATTTCTCTTGCCTGGTTTCCAATTATTATGCCTTTTGTATGTTTCAGGAATGGGAGAAAACAATGCTTCAAGGAAAAGGAAAAATATCCTCAATCGAGACACACTCCAGGCAGCAGCAGCTATATACAAAGGTGACAGTGGATTCATGATATTATTACACACTATTCTTAAAGGGTTTATTACACTGTCTGCCCGTCCTTCCTTCATTCACTTATTTATCTATTTATCTTTTGCTGCTAGAAATGTATGGTTTGGATGATGGAAGTATTCCAGCTACTTTTGAAATTTTATATTTTATAGGATGGAAACCAGACAAAACTCAGGTAAGTAATTATTATGATTGAGAAAGAAAGAAGAGGGGATCCTAGTGTTATTGTAAGACAACTGCTAAGGAAAAGTGAACCAAAACACCCATTTATCTGTCCATTATTTGTCAGTCCCTTAGCTAGTACCTTTTGACTACCAAATCACTGATAATTGGTTATCGAACCAAAATCCTGTACGGAGGCTTAGAAATGTTATACAATGAATTACTTTATGGTTTGCATGGGGGGTGGGGGGATCAGCATAACCCAACCCACCCCCCTACGTGATAGAGGTAATGATTGCATAACCCCCCTTCAATCACCCTGCAGTACTCAACCCTCCTCAATATGTGATACTGCCCGTTAACACTTTCTCAAAATAACACCCCCCCCTTAATCTTACCAACCCCTCTAATCATATCAGAGTCCCCAAAGATGAGGGGCAACCTTGGCACCACCACTACACCACCCTTGATTCACTACGAATTGGTGACCACAGAACAAATGTTTCAATTTTTCTCTCTCTCTTTAACAGCAACAACCTGCTAAACGAGGGTCTGCAGCAGTTAGTCTAAAAGATCTCAGTAGTCTAGACTCACTGGATGACAAACCAGATAAAGTAAAGAACTGAATGAATTTAATATTTATTTTTGAGCATCTTTAATCCTTTGTACATTACAGTAATCTGACTAATTGCATAATAAATGGTAAATTGTATGAGATTTTATTGTTGGTAGTTTGTCAGTTTTGCTGTCATTTTTGGTTTTGTCAAGCGAAACATTTCATTTTACCTAGTATATAATTCTGATGTAAAATTACATCACTTAAAATGTACTAGTAGCCTTTCACTACTGGGTAATATTATATATAATTCATTGTTCCTAAGAAAATATGCAAAAAATATGATGCAGTATCCTTTGTAATATTAAGTGTGATGCTGTTACTATATGAAAGGATTTAGGAGTAGAGTAAGGTAGGTTGGGTTTGAATTACCTTACCCCTCCCTCTGTGCATCTAGTACTGCAATAATCCTCAACCCAACTGAGTCTGGAGGGTCTGCTAGAAAGTCTAATAAGATAATAATGAATTGTGATGCATTTTAAACTCTTTTACAGTCATGTCAACCTACAATTATTAATCATGCCATGTAGCATATATATTATATATATATATGATACTAGCTCAGTTGTCAGTGTCAGTCAATTAATCAACCATCCATGGCCTATCAATGCTTTTTATTAATAATTTGGCCATGGATAGCTGGGTTTTCCTAACTTAAGTATACTTGTATTATCAGCTAAATCACATTAGTTCTCAATACTCCATTTTACAGTTCCGTTCAGTGACCACGAATAATAGTTCCTAGCCTATCATGCGCAGTAACTCCAGCCTCGGCTAGGAACTATTATTCGTGGTCACTGAATGTAACCATAAAATGGAGTATTAGAATTCTTTCTGGTTAACAGCAGCACATGGTGGTCAGTGTTTGACCACCATTTGGAGCAGGTAATGAGATTCAAAGTCTTTTAACAAATGACTGAAACCAAGCAATTATCTTCTATAATTTGGCCAAATAATAATTTGAGCTGATTTTCAATTTGGCCTAGAAACTAAGGCTAAATGCAGCTGTCATTAAACTGTTCATGGTGCATTGAATGAATGTAGCTGATTGATAATTTGATCATAGTAATTTGAGTGGCAGTCGGCTGGTGGAATGACCAACCCCCCCTGATTTAGCACAATTTAAATTATATGATTCTAGTTTCATAAAATCATGTGAGATACTTAACAGCTAAAAACATAATAGCACAAGTGACCACAATTCCAATAAGCACAATCCATTTGTCCTGGAAAAAAGAAAAAAAATTATTCATGCTTTGCCTAAACTAACTCTGTCCATTTTCACCAATTCTCTGACATTTGGCAAATGAAAAGCCAGGATAGTGTAAGACCAACTCAGCTCACACTTCAGGGGTGAGAAGCTTGAGTTTTACTGACAGGGCAGAAAAACGGGTTCTACTTTCGACGCTTATGCGTTAATAAGCTTTATAATTATTCATAAACAGGCTCTTTTGGGGATGATTAACAAAATACCAAAATTTGGGGAAATTTAAGGAATGAGTATTTGAGATATAACGCCCTGAACGTTGGAAGAGATAGTACAAAAAGTAACATCTTCGCTAATACCTTGAAGTAGAATTGCTCGAGGTTAGCAGAATTTTGTGAAAAGTTTAAAGCACAAGAGGCACGAATGAAACACTAAACGTTTTTAGCATGAATGAGAGATAAAGAAAAAAATTGCAAAAGTAGCAGCCTTGTTGTTTTTCTGCTCTGTCAAGTTTTATTACCATGCCATCTTGACTTCCCTGATGACAAATTATGTCAACTTCTACTAACTATTTCTTCTGGGAATGTAGTTGATTTGAYTGTCTGTCTATTTTCTCTTACCTGTGTGGCTCTTTTGTCAATAAGCCTCATTACAGTGTTAGATAAACCTAATGTGTTGGCTAAGTCAAGAATACGTTTTTGGGCTCCCTGTGGACAAAATCAATTATGGTATGCATTTATGGTACTTTTATTGAAAATATAAGGTCACAGATCCCAAATTAAAATCTTCAACTCTAAATGAGGACTTTAATGTCAACATTTTTCCCTCAAAATTTATTGATTGTCTGCAAGTCGAATGACCAAAACCCTCAATAATTTCCCAGGGGGAATAATCTATGCAGGGATAGGTGGGGTTGGGGGTTGAGGAGTTAAAAACCATGCCTTAAAGTATTTAAGAACACAAATTTGCAGCCGAAACCATGTTGAATAACAGAGATGTTAAGGGGGTACAAGATTTGGATAAAACTAACTGAGCACTTTGACTCCCTTCTATGAATCCCTGCATGTACACATATTGTACAAGTTATAAAAATGCATTATAAAGAGGCAGTATAGCCTCCATCTAGATATTTCACAACTGCCTATGTTGCAATTTGGGAATGTTCTTGTGTCATTTGTTGGTCAGGAATTTACTCCTATAAATTGCAGGGTCATTCTTTCCTAGTTTGTGGATCTCATGTTGGCATTTCCAAGACTATTGTTGCTTGTCGGATTTTACCCCTAACAGAGCTTCTATAAACACTTTCAGATACCATGAGCTAACCTTGAGGGTATATCTTTGCTCTCTTAGTCCTGTTAATATACTGGAACCACTGCTAATCATGTCATCTAATCCTCTGTTTGCATTCTGTAGTCCTGTGTTGTGCTGGAGAGCATGATCTATCATAATAGATGTTTCTCCACTGCTCTGCAAATGGACAAGATTTAAAATAAGGCAGAATATTATTAACATACAGTAATAACAGATAGATATCTCTGTAGTTTTAGCACACAAAGTTCAATGATTATCCAAAAAAAAATTTTTTTCCAATACCTGTAAAAAGCATTGAGACCTAGTAAGTTATGCGTTTTACAAGAAATAAATTATTATTATTATTATTATTATTATTATTATTATATTAGTAGTAAGACTTGTTTAGTAAATGCAAAACCAAGTAAACATTTCTTAGCTTCCAAAAAAGTCAACTGCTCCCCCTAAAACAGGCCAATTAACACCCATGTCCTAACCAATGAAAGCCCTTTTATTTATTCCCACTTTTATACTCACATTTGGTGCAAATTTCCTGTTCAGCAATTCATCTCTTTCCCTTTCTTCTTGTTCCTGAAGATTAATCGCCAGTGATTATGTAATGATACTTTTTTTAAAACGTATATAAATATAATTAGCTTTATACTTGGAAAAAACTTGGAAAGCACAGGTGATGCAAATATGCACTGAGCAAGGGTAATATGCTGCCTCTTACCACTGGTTGCAGATAGTGTGATCTACAGACTCGCAATTATATGGGAGTATCATATGTGGATAAGGTTTTTTCTTGTGCTACAAATTCTAGAAACTTGAAATCTCTATTTTCTACTATTAATAAAGCAAGTATGTCGTGTCTTTCAAATTACTCACTCTTTGTATCTTTCTTTGCTGGTAATTATGGAAAGCTGTTTGTAAATGTCTGAGATCATAGATTAATTGGTCTGCTTTGCTATGGAAATAGAACAAAGGAATGAATCCCAAGTGAGTGATACAATCATTCAAAACTTTCTCCAGTTACTCAGGGTTTGTGAAGTGTTACTGGAAAACAAAAGAATAACTCTCAAGGGAATGACACTCATACATTAAACAATAACCGAGGCCAATGAAATATTCTGGGAAACAAAGGAACAACTGTCAAGGGAATGACAATCACAGACCATACACGAAACAAATTTATGTCATTTGGTTCTGGTGTTTTAATTGTTACATTTTCATCACTATTATGTTTAGTTTAGATGACCTACGTATCTTCAGTTGTTGGCCTATTTTACTGGCTCAAAAAACACAATCCACATGACAAGTGACCAGTAATGTCAAGAAGTCAAATGTGGATTCCAAGACTTCATGTTTAATTTCAAATCTCCAATCAACCAACTACAATATTTCAAAAAATTCAGTCTTTGGCCTATTTTACTGGCTCAAAAAACACAATCCACATGACAAGTGACCAGTAATGTCAAGAAGTCAAATGTGGATTCCAAGACTTCATGTTTAATTTCAAATCTCCAATCAACCAACTACAATATTTCAAAAAATTCAGAATAAAATTATGTTTTGATCCTGCTATCAGAAATGGTTGTAATATATTATGTTGTTCAAAAGAATTCACTTCCCAACCACATTGCTGAGAATAAGCTTGAAAATCTTTATTTTTTAAGTTAAAATTAATTTGTTTTGCGGGAGTCAAGTGTTGTTGGCATTGTAGAATTGCAGAAAAAGTTGCCAAAAGTCCAATCAAAACATTAGAGATGGTGGTCACACGTGACGTTAATTAGCTACAATGACTTACATCTTCGCACTTTGTCTTTTATGTGGGGGTTCTTTATTAACCAGTATGTTAAGTTTGTCGCAATTAGATGATACTTCTTGCAGCACATTGTCAATATCTTGTTCCACTTCTAAAACAAATAACACATCGTCAAATAGTTGATGATAACAGACTCAATTACATATAAAACTAGAAAAATAAAATAATGTGTGTGATGTGTGTAATGCTCCTGCAGGAACAGCAGGTGATTAGAGGTATGGTACAAGCTCATGGTTGCAATGTGACTATATATAGCACCCACATAGAAAAGTAAATAAATAAGCAGGATAAATGGAAATTGACAGTAGAGAATGGCTCTCTTCCAAATTGCAGCTTAGAAGTTGATCTGTGTGGAGGGAGGAAAAACCGAAGAACCTGTAAAAAAGTACCGATACAGGTAACTTGAACTAATCTGCACTGCAACTGGTTAAAAATATCGGCAATTCTTTACTATATGACTGCATCATAATTGCATAAGCTCTTTTTGATCATGCATGTGCTTCCAATGGTTCTTACCAATTAAATTATCTGCAGTTACAGTTCCAAGCTTGTTAAGCTGCCCTTGGACTTGCAAAATGAGTCTGATTAAAAAGGATTTAATATCACACTCAACATAACCAAATAATGTCAGTAGGCTCGGTATAAAATATCATTCTCAATCAAGACTGAGAGCTAGTTGAGTAGGGATCATCACTTCAGGTGCTTATCGCCCGGAGTAGTCAATCGATAAAAATCGATATCAATTTTGCCGATCGATAAGTCGATAACAATCGATACCGCTGATTTGATTGATATCGATTCTATCTATCAATTGTTAAAAATCGAACTCACACTAGGATGACACAAACTAGGAGTTTGTTATAGTGATCAGTGAACAGACAGCAAAAGTACTTGGATAATTAGCTGCCTGATCTACATATAATTACTTGTGAATTAATAGTTATGAAATCTATTGCACTATCATCGATATTTTCGAATACTTTCCGTGAAATAAAGCTGATTTTATGATTGTACTCATTATTGTATTGAATTAAAGCTGTCAAACCTTGATCGATAAAAATCGAACTCACACCATTTTTTTAAATCGATTTTAAACGATTTCCCATAAAAATCGATACAAATCAGCTGATTTCTATCGATTTTTATCGATATCGATTTTTATCGATTGACTACTCCGGGTTATAGACATTTTCAGTTTGAAAACAAAACGAATGTGTGTGGGAATGGCGTGTGCTCCAAAATGGAATAAAAACATTCCAAGCTATAAAAGAAATATATTACCAGTTCCCATAGCCCTATGTGAACAATAAGATTGTCAGTACTAAATGGGATGCTCAGGACTTTTTGATGACAAAATAAAAAATAAGATAAAAATAGAAACCTAAGGATGAAAAGGACGAATATATGTAAAGAAGGGGTGAAAATTGATATAAATCTTCTTTAAGTAATCATCAACTCGTTGTTCACTAATCGTTAAACGTCTTCGCACTAGTTCGATGACAGAAGAACGTAAACTTTTGTCCGGTGTACGTACTAAGCTAACGTTACTATACATTGAACACACAATTTTTCCTTCGTAAAAGGCACTTCTAATTCAACGAAATAATGAAATCTTTACCTGTTTGTTTGCTGATATAGCTGCTCCATCTCAGCGTCGAAAATCCAGAGAATGGAACGGGGGAAAAACGATTTCTTTTTGTACAATTTTTTCTATACCTCTTTGTCCGCCATTTTGATTTTAGTACACGTCACTTCAACACCAGCCTATCTCGACCCTATATTCCACAGCTAGACCAAAACTAATCCCCAGCTATCTAGGTCAAGCTCACATCCAAGACTTGTATAATAGCTAAGTTACTGCCATGTGTGACTGGAAGGTAAGTTAACTCTCAATTTTTATGGGACGACCTGGATTGGGGTTGGGGATGATAGGATACGGTGATTGACAGATATAGTATAACAGAAATAAACCTCAATGGCCTCCCTTTCATCAAAACTGCAGTAAACAACACCATTTGTTATATTATTTATTTTCCAATGCTATATTTTTAAGTGGTATCTATACAGGCTTCTTTTATAATACTCTCAAAACAGGTTACACCTGTTAATGGATGTAGTAATACAGTGCTTAAAATAATCTGTGAAACAGTACTAAATTTACTATTTTGCACTTTGCGGTCTGTTAAAAATTTGTTTACAAACATTATATATTCATATGATTGTGATGTTAATTTGCAAACCATTACAGTTTGTTGTCAAATTGCTTAAATTGTTTTATCAGCTAATTGATCTCTGGTTGGCATACACCTAATTGAAAAAACGTTGTTGGGTTCAAAAAATGTTATATCATCAAAGCTAAGACTGAAGGGGAGCATGGGAAGACAAACAATTATGCTAATTTCATGTGTATTGCAGTTTTCCCTTCCAGTGCACATTTTATGCATAATTGCTACGTTTTTTCAATTAGGTGTATATAGTAATTAATGACAATCAAGCTTATGTTACAGCAACCAGGCACATAATTTCTAATGAAATAAAAATAAAAATATTAACTTTGTGGCAATTATGATGATTTAAACCAAATGTTTATGAAAAAAAAATCTGTCAGAGCAATATGGCATGCACTGATCCACAAAGTTATAAATTTTTTTACAATTTCATCATTTTAAACAATTGATATATATTATTTCTGTTTAAAAGCAATGCATCCATGTATGTGCGTCCACAGTTAAGGAATATAAAACACTCCCAGGCAGATTATCTCTGTACTGTGATATAAACATGCTGGGAGCTGTAGAGTAGGAGAGAAGCAAGCTTAGGAACATAAGGCGTAACCAAGTGTTTCTCTTGCTTTTTGGGCTTTCTACAGCTCCGACCGATCCCAGAGTGTTTATATAACAATACAGAGACAAAAGCAGCCATTTGATATTGCTTTTATGGGATATTTTGTAGAGCGAGCATATCTTTGCCTGCATTCTGATATAAACATGGTAGCCATTAGCGCTCAAATATTTTAAATATTATTTTATAATATATAATATATATATATATGAACTAATTATTTCACTTATAATTTTATGTGTGCTTAATATAATAATTAACTCAAAATTATATATTTCTTTCTCATAAAGTTATAAATAAAAAACGAATAAATACAAATGATATAATTAATTAAGATTTATATTACATTTCTCTTGTTCTACATGCGACGGAAAACACCAACTTGAGAGCGACAGTTTGGACATGTATGCACTACATCCTTCATTGAATCAAGACAAAACGGAATGAAGCAACAGCCAGCATCACACCTAAAATATATGTATATATTATATAAGTTCTCATAAGTTTTCGACTTCTTGTATATATGTGTACTTTTATTGTAATATGAAACCAATTTGTATATTATTATCATTATTATAATTTGAATTATTGTACATCTTATAATAACATTTTTCAGAAATTTTCAAAAATACCCCTAACATACACCAAAATTCCTTTAATAAGGGCGTGGTTGGAAGAGTTTTTACCCCTAAGTGATACCATAAAAGATACCAAGAAATGCTGAAATTCTAAAATTCAATTTTAATACCCAAAAGAATACCAATTTGTTGATTTTTACCCATAAGAGATGTGACGAGCATAACCAATACTTTTACCCTGGAGTCATAATACAGAGATAATACATTTATCACATCAATTTCACTCCAACCCCACCCTCCCCCCATTAGGCTGAACTCTTTTATTAGCCCCTTCCCACTACTACTTCCTTCCACTTAAATCCCACCTTTCCCTCTCCCTGGTAAAAAATGAACAGTCCTCAGGGTATTAATGGAAGTCAATTTTTTAAATCAAGTATTAAAAGTTGTGTTTTTTTCAGGAGTAGGGAAAAAGACAATAATAAGATATATAAAATATATTATTGAATAATGTCACAGATCTTCCCTTTGTTTAAAATCCACCTCCCTCCCTCCCTCCCTCCCCCTCAGTCTCATGCAAACACACACACTCATGCAATTAGTATAACCCAGCCATCAGACTAAGTCCTCGTCCACACTATGCCGGATATAAAACATAAAAACGGATAAAATGTTGCGCGTCCACACTAGTCCGATCAGAGGCGGCAAAATACTTTATTGCACATCTGAGCATGTGCATCGAAGCTGAAATTGAGCCCGCGGTGAATTTTTAGCCTTCCCGCCATGTTCCCATGACGATCATGACGTCATCGTATTCGAAAAATTTCGGGTACGAAATATTCTCTAGCCTGCGTAGCCAACGAAAAAATTCGTTTTCGGTGGAGAATTGTTCCGACTAATGTGGACGGTAGGCCTAACCGAATAAATAAAAATTAGGATTCAAATTTATCCGGCATAGTGTGGACGGGGCCGAAGTGAAGCACAGGTAGCCCAAACGTATACATTGTACTGATTTACTATACAATATATGGGACTTCATAAATCTTCATTTTCGTTCATTAAATTTTGATAAAATCAACTGAAACTTCTACAGCGTGTTTCACTCTGAGCGAATTTCGTTCCGGTGGGTAAAGTGCAGTTAGACTGAACAAAATCCGCCCAGAGTGAAGCTAAGAACAACCAAAACACGCTGTAGAAGTTTTAGTGGATTTTATTAAAATTCAATGAACGAAAATAAAGATTTATGAAGTCCCATATATTGTATAGTAAATCAGTACAATGTATACGCTTGGGCTACATGTGAGTGAAGGGGTTGTATACAACAAACAAAGCCAATAACTCTTCAAGATAGACAGGAACATCTGTCATAGTATAATTACGATGCAAAAGCCACTAGAACACTATCTAATATGTCAAAATTAATTATTCATGAATAAAAAAAATGGAACTTGCTTAAAAAGCAAAATCTGTGCTGAAAAATCTTTTTACTCCAAGAAAATGGAAAAAATAAAAATTGTCAAAAGTGGGAGATAAGACTAACGGAAATCTTTACGAATATAAGCAAATTCCCCTTAAAAAAGAGCGAACTTTGATAGCCCTTTTTCAGCTTGCGCTTTCTCATTTTCAGCTCGTACTTTCTTCAGAACCTCTCCTTGAAATAGTGTCGTAGGAAATTACTTCTATATATTTTGTCTTACAAGTATAAGTTTTAAATGAATTTTCGAATTTCCTCCATCCATATGTTTATATATCGATCGATCGCTATATACCTATATTTACATCTGTTTTTGCTTAAATTAACACACGATACGGTACTATACGAAAACTGACATGACATAAGTCTTAATTCTTCTTCCAGTTTCAAGAAAATACTTTATAGCTTTTAAAAATTATGTTTTTATCAGGTAAGTTTGATTAATTAAGATTGGTTCAAATAAAACTTATAAATAGAGGTTCCTATATCGGTGTTAAGCGACTGGTTGCAGTGTATTTATTCATAAGCAAATTGCCGCTCGAATCGAACACACTTCCATTTCTTCGGTGCGATTTTCGATGATTTAACTTCATAACCCGGGTATTCTTCACAAATTGAATGAAAACTGTTTTGTACGGTTTAATAAGCAAGCAATATACTAGATCACCTCAGAATGTATTTCACCTACCCGATAATACAGAGTCCAAAACAAGCCAACCAAGTTAATGTACCGGTGACATACTCCGTAGCAGTGACTATCGTCGCCTTACAGGTTGGACAGCACATAGATACCGGCACCTCATGGAAGGCTGTTGGAGCAATAACTACGGTAGTAGGCTGTTGAACTACGGTAGTAGTACTGGTTACAGGATAACTTGGATACCCAACAGGAGGAGGATAGCCAGCTTGTTGACCACTAGGATAGCCTGGCTGTTGAGAATAGCCTGGCTGTTGAGAATAGCCTGGTTGTTGAGGATAGCCAGGTTGTTGGGGATACCCTGGCATTTGTGGTGGATAAGGTTGTTGTGGATCAGGATATGGAGGAGGCTTGTCCGTCATGACAGAGTTTTGTATATATATATCTCGACTCAAACGAGAAAGCCTTTCGAGACTTGATCGATCTCCCAAGCTGTTGTCTTTCTACAGGTGCAATTTGAGTTCTTCTTTTACGTCATAAAGTTGTTGTCTTGACGACGTGAGTCGTGGTTATCAGTATTTTATTATTTTTATTTTTACTTTTTTTTTCTTTGACAGAAGAAACTCAGACTTGACTCAACTAATTCTAAGCTAGAAGGCTAGGCTTGATCTTATAACTTACCAAAATAAAACCTAATATCACTGAGAATTCGATTCACATGTGATACATAGACGCTGCCAAAAGGCCTCATTTCTTCAAAAGCTTATTGTATTCTTCTGTTATAAAGTGCGTAATAAAAATATAAAGCCGAATACACGAGGTAGTATATTGTCCCTTCAGTTTCCTTACGGAGTAAGGATCTATTTTTTGAAAAATTTAGTAGGCTACATAAAAACCGGAACGAAATATTTTTGAATTTAATTCATGTTGTTTTTTTTTCGGTTCTTTTTCTTGGATTTTTCCTTTATAAATTTCTATCCCGAGTTTAAGTAGTCACAGAAGAAAGAAAGATAGAAAGAAGGAAGGAAGAAAAGAGAAAATGTCCTTATTTACTAACCACATCTATGTGGAAACTAAAGATGATGAACGATTCACACCTCCTATCGCAGCTAAATATATAATGCTGCTCTATTGCTGCATCTTTTCCCCTATAGTACTACTATCCGAGTCCAGGTATTCGAAAAGAAAAAATCGAAAGTAACAGAAGAAGAAGAACAGGGATTTTTTAGTCAATGATCTTATTGTCTAATTCATTCTAATCATTGCTAACAACATAAACAAGAGACTTTCATGAGGACATTTTTTATTATCATTGGCATTATTAGTAACTACGTATAATTTTGTTTACTATTTTATTCCCTTATAATTAGTCAAGTTTTAAACGGTTAGTTTGTCTAGGAGTAAGTATCCTTTATCTTCTTTTGATTCGTTCCAATCCATCCGGAATCTTGGGAGCATTATTCTAACAATATAACGATAAAAAAATGCTCTTATTAGTGGTGAAAGAATGTAAATTTTAAAAATGGATTTGTTATGTTCAACGCTGCCGACACCAAGAAWATTCTCTTACCACAGGAAGCCCATCACCCAATCCACGAACTAAGATTAATTCTTGGAAGCCTGCTGAGCTTAGACTCCATAAAAATTCTCTGATCACAGGAAGCCCATGCTCGCGCTTTTGTCGCGGTATTTTTCAGTAAATGTATGTGGTTGATAAAAAGTTAGGAAAAATACATTCGATCTTGATTCTGTTCAAAAATTTTCCATATATAGCTATTTATTAGTGAGCGTTGCGTGACGACACTAACAGCGGTTGTGTGGATGACTAGGGCTGGCTGTGCTTATTACCAAGAGAAAAACGTTTGCGCATGCGTACATTTCAACGCACTTTTCAAGAATTTACAAGCTTTTAGTATAGAGAGCAATGCCCGTTTACTCAAACTCCTTTCATATCCTTCCCCAGTGTCTATGTGTCAACCACCTTTGAGAAATAATAATGATAATAATAATAATAAAGAATGTTTTTATACGCATATATAAAACTCTATGCGTTTACGAACAAATAAATGTATAAATGTGTATAGAAATTTAGATTATAAAATAGAAAATATTAGTTCACGTAATGTAATGTTTTTAGTACATGGAGTTGATCACAAGTCCGTTTGAAAAGTTTCTTTAAAAAAATAATAATTTGCTCTAGATGTTTCAATAAATACTCACAATAGATTTCATAGACGAAGTTGGAAAGCACTCTTCCGATGCCGTCAACACAGGTATCGGCATTTCCGTTTTTGTTGTAAGTCTCTTTACCGTTGGGTCCTGACCAGCATTCAACTTTATACTGAGTGCCAAAAACTTTATAGCCTTTGGCCTTGGCCGCCTCGTAACACTTCTGTACGAGACGTTCAGGATCAAAGTTACCGATATGAACAGGCAAAGCTCGATCACTGATTGTGTCTTTGAAACAACCAACCGCTTTGTAGCCTGGGTAAAGATTTTATGATTTTAGTTTCTTTGGATTATAGTATAAAATATATTTCACACCGCTGCACACCACACAACAATACAATACAGTACACCACAGTACAGTACGACTCACCACGCCACAGCACGCCACAGTACAACTTACCACAGCACACCACAGCACACCACAGCACACCACAGCACTGCATACCACACAACACTACAGCACAGCATACCACAGCACATGCATGCAGTTAAAAGTTCAGTGCCGTAAACGTGCCGTGCCTTGACCATGATCTTTTCTAGAATTTAATTGGCTGATTTTTTTCTCGCGCAAAGTGATTGGTCTGAGAGTGCCGTGATGCGTGACCGTGTCTGCGCCGTGTTCATGCCGTGTTTCAGGCATTTGATTAATTGGATGGAGAATAAATTCTTTAGCAATGTCCGTGCTTGTGCCCTGAGGTTTTCACAGTCATAAAAAGCCTGCTCTACACCCCAGCAAACCACGCAAAGCACACCACAGCAAACCACAGTAGTGCATTACAGCACAGCAAACCGCATCACAGTTACCACAGGACAACACGCCACAGTAAACCACAACACAGCTTACTATACCACAGTACACCACAGAAAATCAAGGAGTGAAATTAGTAGGATTTTAATCTACCACTGAAATTWAAAAAAAAAAAAAAAAATCTTCAAACCGGATTTTTAAAAGATTGTTTAATGATGCTATCTACCTCCAGTGGCACAGTTTCCCCACTTCCCACTGTATACGGCTGTCGTARAACACCAGGGACGATTATGATTCTTGGTAGTACAGCCCCTGTACACCACACCCTGGTAAGTAAACGGAAAGACACAGTCCTCTCCTTTGGTTGTCTTTACACCAGACGGAGGTTCTGTAGAAGAAGCATAGTTTCATTGCACAATGAAAATGTCGCAGTCAAAGTTTAAGAAAATCAGGAGTAAGACTAAAACTAT